GGTTAAAAAGAGTCTTATTTGATAAGCCTATAGGCTTGCATTTGTTAAGAAAGTTAATGATTGAAACATTAATAATTCTCGAAGGATAGACTACAAATATCAGTAATTCATTACTCAGAGCTGTTTCTTTTGCATAGAAATACAAAAGATCTATGTGTTGAATGAAAAAGGCTTTCGGTCAAAAAGAGTCTAATTTGATAAGCCTATCGGCTTGCATTTGTTAAGAAAGTTAATGATTGAAACATTAAAAATTCTCAAAGGATAGACTAAAATATCAGTAATTCATTACCCAGAGCTGTTTCTTTTTGCATAGAAATACAAAAGATCTATGTTTGAATGAAAAAGGCTTTCGGTTTAAAAGAGTCTATTATGATAAGCCTATAGGCTTGCATTTGTTAAGAAAGTTAATGATTGAAACATTAATAATTCTCGAAGGATAGACTACAAATATCTGTAATTCTTACCCATAGCTGTTTCTTTTTGTATAGAAATACAAAAGATCTATTGTTTGAGATGAAAAAGGCTTTCGGTTAAAAAGAGTCTATTATGATAGCCTATAGCTTGCATTTGTTAAGAAAGTTAATGATTGAAACATTAAAAATTCTCAAAGGATAGACTAAAAATATCAGTAATTCATTACCCAGCTGTTTCTTTTTGCATAGAAATACAAAAAATCTATTGTTTGAATGAAAAAAGGCTTTCGGTTAAAAAGAGTCTATATGATAAGCCTATAGGCTTGCATTTGTTAAGAAAGTAATGATTGAAACATGAATAATTCTCGAAGGATAGACTACAAATATCTGTAATCCATTACCCAGAGCTGTTTCTTTTTGTATAGAAATACAAAAGATCATTTGTTTTGAATGAAAAATGCTTTTCGGTTAAAAAGAGTCTATTATGATAAGCCTATAGGCTTGCATTTGTTTAAGAAAGTTAATGATTGAAACATTAAAAATTCTCAAAGGATAGACTAAAAATATCAGTAATCATTACCCAGAGCTGTTTCTTTTTGCATAAGAAATACAAAGATCTATTGTTTGAATGAAAAAGGTCTTCGGTTAAAAAGAGTCTATTATGATAAGCCTATAGGCTTGCATTTGTTAAGAAAGTTAATGATTGAAACATTAAAATTCTCAAAGATAGACTAAAAATATCAGTAATTCATTACCCAGAGCTGTTTCTTTTTTGCATAGAAATACAAAGATCTATTGTTTGAATGAAAAAGGCTTTCGGTTAAAAAGAGTCTAATTTGATAAGGCCTATATCGCATTTATTAAGAAAGTTAATGATTGAACATTAAATAATTCTCGAAGGATAGACTACAAATATCTGTAAATTATTACTCAAGCTGTTTTTTTTGCATAGAAAATACAAGAGATCTATTGTTGTGAATGAAAAGACTTGGTTAAAAAGAGTCTAATTGCATAAGCCTATAGGCTTGCATTTGTTAAGAAAGTTAATGATTGAAACATTAATAATTCTCGAAGGATAGACTACAAAAATCAGTAAGTAATTCATTACCCAGAACTGTTTCTTTTTGCATAGTAATACAAGAGATCTATTGTTTGAATGAAAAAGGCTTTCGGTTAAAAAGAGTCTAATTTGATAAGCCTATAGCCGCGCATTTGTTAAGAAAGTTAATGATTGAAACATTAATAATTCTCGAAGGATAGACTACAAATATCAGTAATTCATTACCCAGAGCTGTTTCTTTCTGCATAGAAATACAAGAGATTTATTGTTTGAGTGAAAAGGCTTTCGGTTAAAAAGAGTCTAATTTAATAAGCCTATAGGCTTGCATTTGTTAAGAAAGTTAATGATTGAAACATTAAAAATTCTCGAAGGATAGACTACAAATAACAGTTATTCATTATCCAGAGCTGTCTCTTTTTGCATAGAAATACAAAAGATCTAGTGTTTGAATGAAAAAGGCTTTCGGTTGAAAGGAGTCAAAATTGATAAGCCTATAGCCTCGCATTTGTTAAGAAAGTCAATGATTGAAACATTAAAAATTCTCGAAGGATAGACTACAAATATCTGTAATTCATTACCCAGAGATGTTTCTTTTTGCATAGAAATACAAAAGATCTAGTGTTTGAATGAAAAAGGCTTTCGGTTAAAAAGAGTCTAATATGATAAGCCTATAGGCTTGGATTTGTTAAGAAAGTTAATGATTGAAACATGAATAATTCTCGAAGGATAGACTACAACTATCTGTAATTCATTACCCAGAGCTGTTTCTTTCTGCATAGAAATACAAAAGATCTATTGTTTGAATGAAAAAGGCTTTCGGTTAAAAAGAGTCTATTATGATAAGCCTATAGGCTTGCATTTGTTAAGAAAGTTAATGATTGAAACATTAAAAATTCTCAAAGGATAGACTAAAAATATCAGTAATTCATTACCCAGAGCTGTTTCTTTTTGCATAGAAATACAAAAGATCTATTGTTTGAATGAAAAAGGCTTTCGGTTAAAAAGAGTCTATTATGATAAGCCTATAGGCTTGCATTTGTTAAGAAAGTTAATGATTGAAACATGAATAATTCTCGAAGGATAGACTACAAATATCTGTAATTCATTACCCGTAGCTGTTTCTTTTTGCATAGAAATACAAAAGATCTATTGTTTGAATGAAAAAGGCTTTCGGTTAAAAAGAGTCTAATTTGATAAGCCTATCGCCTCGCATTTGTTAAGAAAGTTAGTGATTGAAACATTAATAATTCTCGAAGGATAGACTACAAATATCAGTAATTCATTACTCAGAACTGTTATTTCTTGCATAGAAATGCAAGGGATTGGTTACTTGGAAGAAAATTATTTTGGTTAAAAAGATTGTAATTTGATAAGCATATAGCCCTACGTTTTTTATGAAAAAAGTGTAATAAGGGGAGTATGGGTAATATTGGAACATGAATATTTCTCAAAGGATCGGATCCCAGAAATTATAAAACATTATTCTGACTAATTTACTTTTCTTTCAGAATAAAGGAGCTGACTTTTTTGATAAAAATGCTTATTTGTTTAAAGGGTCAAATTTGACAGGCCGATAGCCTTGCTTTTAGTCAAAATAGTGTACACTTGAGAGTCTATATATTTTCCTTTGTTTTTCGGATCCAATGAATGTACAATCTTATTGAGACCGGTTCTATAGTTTGTTTGTACTAGATGGCAGTGATTTTTTTGATTGGGTGATGAAAATTTTTCATGTTGATTCAGGCAAAATGAGCACATAACATTTTAAAACAGTTTAAACAAGATCTGAGAGAAAATAATAAATAATAATAAATTTGGATCAACTAATCGCTCCATTTATCTATGAGTTTCTTAAAGTCAGTTAAAGTTACCAGGTTTTTGTCAGCTTCTACACTTTTTGTAAGCAAGCATTGCATCTGTGGATAATGTCTTCAGCAAAGAATTTAAAACATCTCAAAGATTTCTGCTTATCAATCTGTAGCAGGATGCTCAGTGACGTAGAATGCCTGGTGATTTCAAAAAAATTGAAGTAAAATTTAGACCGTCCTGCTCTATTCAACAAAGCGTTCTATTTGTTATTAAAATGCAAAATCTACGTTTTCTTTTTTCCAAGAGATTCCAACTTAATATTATGTCTTCAGGCTCGTTAAAATATCAAAAATTTCAATTAAGAAAATTTAATTTCAGCTGATTCTGTTTGACAACGTTTTATCCTTTCGATTGTCGAATATATTTATTTTCCTGTGATAACTTTCGTGTGTGATCAGCTGTTGGAAGTTGTATCAAGAAAACCTTAGAAAGAGGAAGATCATCAACAGTGTGTAGATACATGTACTTCAATTATTTTCAAGGGTGGTTTAAGCCAAGAAATATATAATACTCTATCATTTAAAAGGTTCAACAAAGGTCTGTTATGGGGAAGTACATTGTAAAACTCACATGTTACCGATGCATGTTTTGATTCCAACAAAAGAAATAGAATACAATGCTCGCTTGGTGGCTGATTTTGTCTTAAAAGACTACAGATTTTTATTAAATGGAAAGACTACAATTTGTTTCTTGTTCTTAGCCATCAAGACTGCAGATTCGAATGTAAATAGTCATAGAACCAATTTCATTAAAAAATGCTAATTAGGAAGTATGATGTTGAATTCAGATTCAACTTTGTAAATACTCCTTCCTATATTAATACTGAAATGAATTGAAAACGGAACAATTCATCGAAGAGAGATTCATTTGTGCATTTCTCGTTTACCTTTGATTGCTAGAAAGCCAATTTGTAAATCATATTCTTCTCATTCTGAAGAAAATAGACAAAATAAAGGGCATGCTAGGTCTATGTTAAACGTCGGTCTTGTCATGAGCGGAACCTTTAACTTGAGTATAACAAGTGAGAAGGGCGATGTTTAATTAAGGCCTCAATGCTCAAATTCAGCTAATCTGTTAGGTTTGAGAGGAAAATTAATTTGTTCACGTAAAGGTTTATGCTTGGTAAACTGATGACCGAGATGCATTACAGTAATGTTTTGAAGAAAGATTAGACTTGATGAGAATCATTTCATTGACAATGGGACCGCCATCTATTAATGTTAATAATTCAAACATCTATAAATTGCGTTTGATTAGCTGTAGCTGAAAACTTTGCTGGTTTCTGTACCATTTGAAACATTGTACGGTCTGAAACAAATTCACCATGCAGCTCTCGTGTCCTGAGTTTGGCATTGCTTTAAATAATGCTTCGTCAGTTCAGTCCAGCAACATGGCGTGTTCTTTTGCTAACGTTGTTATGGCTTTGCCAACAGCACTAATAAACCTTTCCTTGGTTTTTGCCATAATTTTGACGAATGGACTTACCGTACCAGGGCAAATACTGTTGCTAAACATGGCGCTTACGGACATGCTTGCTGGCTTACTTGGCATGCCAGGTCTGGCTGTTATTTTCCTAAACATTGGCTATTTAAAGGACCCTTGCCACTTTGCAGTTTTTGTCATACCATTTGGCATCTTTCTTGGGTTTGCCTCGTTCCTTACAATTTCGATGATTGCAGTCGAGAGGTACTTGAATATTTTCTATCCCTTTGTACATAGTGCTTGGGTTAGTCCAAAATCAGTTGCCATCACGACCTTGCTAATGTGGTTTGCTTCGGTAGCTCTTATACTGCCATCCGTGGATGCCAAAAATAGGCATTTGCTGATCATATTCGCTGCGTCTGTCACCTCACTTGGAACATTCGTTAACAGTTTTTGTTACATCAGTATTTTATGGCACGCAAAGAAAACTCGTCAACGAATTGATACCGAAATGGCAAGATTTGGGAACAATACACAGCTAACAACAAACAGAAATCGAAGCCTTCTACTCGCCGGTTGCCTAATTATGCTATCGATATTCTTTTGTCATTTACCAGTGATGATAATTGCTGCACTAAACCTGTTTCAGTATAGAAGTCACTTTGTTGACAGCCTTTTGTGCTGGTCCTGGACCCTGGTCATGGTCAGTTCGGTTATAAACCCAACCATAACATGTAAGTTCAATCCGCAAGTAAGACAAAGACTCATTAAACTCTGGACTTGTGGATGCCATAGTTTTTCTCGTAGATAGGTAAACACAAATGGTTGTAATTAAATGAGCACTTGGATTCGTTCAAAATAAAGCTATATCTTTTTAATCAACCTGCACTGGCAATGAAAAACTGAAAGCCGATTACCAGAAATAACGACAGTCTGTAAGACACTTTTCCCAACCCTTTTGTCGAGATATCTAGCTGGAGTCGTTCAGGGGCGCAGTGGGAGTTAACTTTTTTTGGGGGGGGGGGGCAGAGCTGAAAAATTTCCGATAAAACTATGATTTTTCCGACAAATTTTTCTCAATACATTTCTTGAAGACTACTCTTGCTGCATATACTGCAACACTTGATACTACAATATCACGAATGGATCTGGAAATCGTTAACTAATGGATCGTTCGTTATACACCTTCAAGTTCAACAATAGCCTTTATTCTAACAAAACTTACCAAATATAAATCGCTATGAACAAAACTGCAACTAGTTATAAATTTACACCCTACAAGTCTTCTCGCTATACAATAAACTGTCACGTTAGTGTTTTTAACTGTTTATAGCAAAAAGTTTTTTCTGGCAAGTTTTAAATCGCATCATAATTACTTTGCACTTATTTATGCTAAATCTTAAATAGATATAACGCGTCCAAAATATTAGTTCTCCTTCAAATGATATTTATATAAACTGTTACTCAAGCAGCATCTTTCTCAAAAGAGGTGTGGCAGCATACAAATCGATGATGTCACCATAGTCTATCGACTGTAAATATCACTTTCGACGTTGATTGTTATCAGAGAGGAAAGGTGGTCTTGTCCCATCGTTGACCATAGCCGATTTTTCACAATCCCCAGCTTTGAAAAAGCTCTTTCATAGTTTGTTGAGCCTATTGGCAAAGTGACGAGAATCTTGTAAAGAAGGACCAGCTGTGGAAAAGCACTTTGCAGGTTGTACTTATCATCAACTGAAGAACTGAATGGAAGTTTTTTCTATTCAAAGTCTTGGCCAAATGATTCGATTTTTCGCTCGATTTTTCATTCGACTTTTCACTCACGCCAACAAAATGTAGGCAAAGAAACACAAATCGGCTGCCGTGTTTATCTTGTGTGCAAATATCTTGACGAACTCGAGCGACATAAGACCCTGTTCGTCCGTTTCATGCAGGAACCGCCATTAAATACTTATTTCGTTTAAATAAATTTCTATTTTCAGGCAAAATTTTGTTTCTTTCGACTAATTCCATTCTTAAAATGAAATACATCATTTAAAAAGGTCCCCTGGACCTCGAGGCCCCAGGGTAGTATGCTTCCCTGCCCAGCATAAGAGATGATAACTGCGCACGCGCTCACTCGACTCACTCGACAAGGTGGCCAAACGATTCGATTTTCATTTGACAACACCTTTTTCACTCGACTTTTTTGATAGAGATCAAACTTCACTCGACATCACTCGACGCCAATCGACCTGCTCGACAAGGTAGCCAAACGACTCTATTTTTCCACTCGATTTCTTGTCGAATAAAAAATCGAGTGAAAAATCGAGTGGTTTGGCCGGGGCTTGAATAAAAAATTTCTCCTGCAACCGGCTGAGAGCTGATCTTCTCTCTAACTTTCCTAAATTTGCGGTAATTATTGACGAAAAAGCTGTACTCATCTCTTTATTTTTCGTCATCCAGGCCGTAATTCTTCGCAACCTTTTTGAATGACACTGCACACAAGCAAAATCTGTCAAAATTGCCTTATGAGACGTGGATTTTGTATTCTTTGAGCTGATAGCTGTATCTACTATCAAGATGATATACGGATTCCCTATTTCCTTCTAATTCATCTATGCAATTTTCCCCTGGCATCTTTTTTTCTGCGTATTCTTCGCTCGACAAAATTTTGAACAATAACTTTTTGCGTCTTCTACAACACCAGCGAATTCATTTCGAAATGAACTGAGTTGAACTTAAACTGTCAGAGATGGATGTTTATAAAATAACTGAGACCAGAGCGTTAATTTCCTTTACATATTTCAGAAATGCGAAGATTCCGATGAATACTCTAATGAAAATAAGTAAGAAGGGTTGAGCATGCCCTATTTTACGACAGGTTTAAAAAAATATGCGACCTTTTGGACAGGATCGATGAAAACCTTACATTTTGTCTAATATTTCAAATTTTCCGACAAACGTTGGATTTTCCGACTATCCGACAAAATTTTTGCCAGGGGGAGGCGGCTGCCCCCCTGCCCCCCAGCCACTGCGCCCCTGGAGTCGTTTGAATAACGAAAACAGAAGTATATACGAATCATCAATGCACAAGGAAACATTTTGGTTAATGTACAGACTTTGCCACGCTCTGCGCCAAAGGAAATGGTTATGCAATGATCATTAAAACTGGCTGATCCTAAAATCAGTATTTTGAGGAAAAGTCGGCAAAAATATTGACATGACAGAAAAAAACGTACAAATTTGCCATTATGCAAAAGCTTTAGATATACAAATTTGTAAGTTAGGGTAATGTGTCTGAACACATCCAAGTCACAAAACAAGAAAAGCAGTCACATTACCAGACAATTACGTAAAGTCTCATAAAATGTACGTGAAAGTCACATGAAAGGAAAGGAAAATTCATTTGGAAAGTACGGAAAAGGCGCATGAAAAGTACAAAAAAGTCACATGAAATTTACGGAAAGTCACATAAAAAGTAAGGAAATATCATGTGGAAAGTACAGAAAAGTCATATAGAAAGTATGAAAAGGGCGCGTGAAAGTACGGAAAAGGCGCATGAAAGTAGGGAAAAGTCATATGAAAATTTCTTTGCTGGCCATCAATGTTTTTTGCGATACAATCTATAATCTGTTAAACATAAAAAATAAAAGTATACAAAAGAAAACAGAATTTCAAATGTCTTTCTGTTTGAAGAGTACAAAATGATTATATTCAAGCTATGCTAAAGTCTTTGATATGTAAAGTAAGAAACATCTATGAAAATGTTGGTTTCTTACATAGCACTCTCTTTCTCATCCGCCTCTTTATTGTCGTCAATATACACTTTGCCATTTGGAGCATTATCAATCCCGATATCCTCTGCTTTATCCACTTTACCTGCCTCGGGTCCACGCCGCCTCATTTTTATAACAAGTCCGATAACAATGAAGGCTAATACAGCAACTCCAACAACCAAACCGATTACTACACTTTGTAGTGTTTGTTTTTGTTTTTCGCCACCTGTTGTCAGACAATATTTAGTCATCAGAGCAAGCGTTTATCTGATATATCAATTTGCACAAACACAATATTAATAAAATGCAAAATTTAAAGACTATTTCATCTATTCTATAAAGATTCAAATTTCTAACAAGGCGGTAATTATTCCCATTTTTCAAAGGATTTTAATTAAAAATTAGAATTTATGTATGTAAAAGGCTTACACAGCTTTAGGTATTTCTGTTTTAATTCACAGACAAAATGTGCAAGTTCAATTTTATTGCTTGTTCAGCATTTGGTAATTCACTACTTATAAATTCAACTAAGAGTTGCTTAGATGTAACATTAAGAATCGAACTCGAAGCTGCAACTAAGAGACACCCAGCTGGACATGCAAAAGAATGTACAACTTTGCCTTTACGAGACCGAGCACATGATATCAAGACATAACTGTGCTTTGTGCTGAAAATGGCCCCTATAATGTTGAAGGTTTTTTTGACCTTCAAGCTTATTCTTGCATAAAAATCAATTTGGCCTCAGCGGTGCCGTGGAGGAGGGGGGAGGGGAGGGGGGCTCAGCTAAAATTCAGAAAGATTTTGGGGGGTTCAGCCTTCCTTAACAAGTTAGCCCATGTTTGGATGAATTCTGTGTTGGCAAACCTTTATTATACTATAGATTCCTCATGAATGAGCTATTTCTTATCAAACTTTTGTGTCATCGAAAAGGTTGAATGACTTCTACACACTACGGAGAGTCTTTAACACAAATGCAATTATACTGGGAACAGTTGGGGTGGGGTCATGGGTGTGTCCTCTTGAATTTGTCTAGAGCACAGCCCCCCTTCCTTACTATTTAGGATGGCACTCCTGCTTGATCTTACATAGCAGCATATTTTAGTTTAGCATTTCGTGTTCAGTAGTTATTATGCAGTAATCAAAGGGAGTCATGCCAGTAATTAGTCCGGCATCACAAAATTTATTTGAAAATGGCATGAAATACCGGAAACATTGCTTACTAAAGCAGTTTTCATCCGACACCTTTCAGAGTATTAACGACGGATAATGAATGACCAAAAGTAAGCTGAAAATTTATATCCAGGTGTGGATCGAAAGTAATGCGAAAGAAAGAAAGATGCGTTTGATTGGTTATCTTGTTTTGACCAATCAGGGACCTCAAACCTCTCACCTAATTGAAGAGTCCAAGAGAGAAAACGAACTCTCCTGTCTACACAAAACTGGATCCATTTTTGATGTAAACAGATTCCAAAATTCCTAAATGAAACGACAGGCTGCTAAATGATTTTGAAATTGTCGTAAATATTCATTTTGGCACACTCTGGGTTCTTGAGTAAATGTTTACCATTTGCCAAAACACATTTTATTTTATCAAAAAAGGTCTATTGCACTGATCGACTCCGAGTAGGTATAAATTCAAAACTCTCCGTAACTAATAAATTCACTTTAACTTTCAAAAGCGTGCTGTCTTTAAATGCTTCAAATTATTGAAGAAAAGTAACACATTTCTAACCTTGGTTTTTGTTATCACCAATTTGATCATTTTCTTCAACAACAGGACCAGCCTCCAGTAAGTAATATTTTGAATAGGTATTTTCATCACTTGCAAATGTTGATGCTGTATCAACGTCTCGTTTAACACGCCCAATATTGTTGCCAGGGCAACCTGATCTACATCTGAAGTCACGTGATGCTCTTTGGCACAACAAGAAGAGGCAGTGAACGTAAATAGACCCTCCATTCTTTAGGTATCGGAACGCTTGCATACTGATGCGCTGTCTCTGACCATCAGCAGGAAGGAATTGAACAGTGCTGTCTGTAGGACACCTGAAAAGAACAGTTTTTTCATCTATTCAAAACATAACCTAATCTCAACCAAGATTGAAGATTCGATTAAAAAAATTAACAAAAAAAATCACAGGTCTATTAGCTATGCATATCTGAACTATAATAACAATATATTAAAAAGAAAAAAAATTTCACGAAAAATTTATTTTTTTTCTTCAGTGAGCTTATGATAATGTGGTCGCATTTTAGATTAAATTTTCTTTTAAGCTTTATCATCGAACACATGTACACTTTTTTCTTTTTATAAGAATAATTATATAAGAACATGAGCCTCAAAATTGGTCAAAAGTTAAGAACAAATTAGGAGCAAGCTGGGGATGAGCTACTGTAAAATGCAATTTTGAACAACGTTTTATCTTAAAACGAAGATTTTTGGCCATGTGTGGATGTTTTTTGGTGAATATTTAAATTTTTCAGCAAATGAAGGTTTTCTCACTCACTTTCTTAGCAAATGAGACCTGAACACCTCCCTAGAGCGAAAATGTTAGCAATCACATTGCTTACAACCTACTAATTTAAAAAAAAATTAAGAACAATCCAGCCTCAGAGTTTCGAAAAAATTAAGACCAGTGAGCCTGACCTTAAATTTACTTGTACTTATAAAAAAGAGTGTAAATATGCTTTCCTTTTTTCCTTACTTTCTAATGTCTTGTTTTATCAAAAGAGTAAAGTTTATTTTTAAAAAACTCCTTGCTGATAAGTTTATTTTTTTCAATTCTTTGTGTTTACTCTTTGTTCATTTTTTTATCGCAGTGTATAATTCCTAACAAATACAATTTCTTTGCCATATACCATCACATCATGTTGTAGCCTTGTAGTTCTATACTAACAGACAACGAGAAACGGATTTGTATGTTTACTTCAACTTCTTGCTTGTTGTTTACTTCTTGCTGTTTGAAGGCCGATTATATAAATACAAATGTCACGTGTTTACTATTCGTTTTTTGTTTACATTGTTGATAATTTTAAAACTCTAAATTGTCAATAGTTGATGCAAAAACTTTTATTAAATTTTATATATTTTATAACATGCTCTAGCTGGGGGTAGGTATTAGTTTATTGTTTTTATGATAATAATTCAACACCCACAGAATATATATCGCAGTCGTTTCTAAAGAGGCTGTGAAAGATAATGCTCACTTTAGAGTCAATTCTTGTATCATTATAAAGCCACGTCTCATTTAGGCTAGTAATATATACGATCATTGCGCCAAGTTGTGAAAGGGCTTTAGGAAGGAAAGGGCATGACTTAGAGCTAGAAAAACTAAATATATAAATTCCAATTTATCAAGTAAATCAATTTTGAGCTATAAGTTGGTACTAATTGCAAAGAGATCGCTTAGCTTTGCTGGAAACACACTTTATCTACACCAGATTTGAGAGAATCATTTAAGTGATATTTAGCGAACTAAATAAAATGAGTAACATTCTATACTTAAAATTGATTAAAATTGCTAGAATGTGAAACATGCTTAAAATTTGAAAAGAAAATAATTTCAATTTCTTCGACCAAAGCCATTTACTTTATTCTGGCCTAAAAGATAAAATTGCGTTCATTAAAAATTTCTCGTTCACATTTTACACTTATCGTTATATCGATTATTTATAGTACGCCAGATTCAAAGAGAAATTGCATTATGCATCCCTTGGTAACTTTCTAAGTTCATTTGTTTTTTCATTGATACAGCAAAATATTTTTCTGAAATTTTGCCAAATACCTACTTTGTACTTGATGCAATTGGCATTCAACTGGGGTTTCCCTTTTATTACAAATAACAAACATTGGGTTCCTTTAGACTACCTTATGGACATACTTTGCAAAAAAACTAGTAACCAAATTTATGCTTCCTCTAAACAAATTGTAAGAACCTGCCATTGGCAAAAGACCTTTGCTTCTTGGCATGAGGAGTTTATTTAGAAAAAGACATAAGCAACAATTTTGTGCAACAACTCCAAATAGTCTTGCCCAATATAAAAACTTTATCAGGTTGTTAGCTGTATGTGGGACTCAGGGTCCTTTAAAGCACAAAATTATGATATTTCAATCTGGATACCGTTTTTACAAAGATTCTTGCTCCTATGCAATTTGCAGCAAAGCAGCTGTTTCAAACAAATAAAAATAGATAAAGGAGAAGGGGCATTATCATCATTATGACAAGTGCGAGATTTCCAAGAAAACAAACAGATTTCCAGGGGCTTTCAAAAATAAAACAATGGGATTTTTAACCAAAGGTGCATCTGATTTCCACGGAGTGATTTTTCCTCGTGGTAATTTGCGATTCTGGTTGTTACGCGTAGCTGCGATACAGGCCTTATGCAGACTGACAGCATCCGGGTATAGAGAACAATTGTAAGAGTGTATGGTCAATTGAAACTTTTTCCCTTGCTCGTCTGTTGAATATTGATGCCTAGCTCGCTTAGAATCGCTCCTCGGTTCACTTTGCGTTGAGATAGAAGTTTCACAAGCTTTCCCTCCAAAACGCTGGCATTCCCGAACCTTACTGCGCATGTTCCATCAATACATTTCTCAAAAGTCTCGTTTGCATTTCGAACTTTGGCCGTTCGTATCCCCAACAAAAACCCTCAGATCTCAAAAGTGTTAGGCTGACGGTTCATTACCCACATCTGCAAATTGGCAGAGGAAGTGATTCGTTACCGATCATTCCATTGCTGCACGAGCTTATTGGTCTATTTCTTACCTTGGGTACCAAGTCCTTAAAGGGCTTTGTGGTATTATATATCGATGTGATGGCGATGAATCAGTAGTGAGGACTCAAATATAAATGCCTGAGACTAGATTTTTTAGTATTTTTGAGACTAAAGTTGTTGAGACCCTTACGCCCTGGGTATCCGTTACTGAGACATCAATTTACAATGATCAGTTTACGACATGTTAAAATTGCTTTCCTCTTTACTGCTTTAAATTAAAAAAAGGCAGGCTCTCTCTTCATAATGTTGGTCAAAAAGGAGTTGCAGTCCTATGCACAAAATGCTGTTTCTACTTCGAGACAGAAAACAGAACCTTGGTATCCATATTTAGCGACAGCTGACTAAAGCAGAATTCTTTCAAAAAAAGTTTACAGGTGTATTTTGTCTCCAAAACTGAACATTTTGGTAAGCAACAGGCAAAAATTTGAAGCTTTGCAAAAGTTTGAAATGGCTTTATGAAATCAACGGTTTTTTAAAACGGGTACTCGAGCACTGAAACATCCCTCAGCAATTTAAGTTTTTATACCAAAGTATTTAACGATAAAAGGAATTAAACACAATCTTACTGTTGCTCGCCATTTTACTCACGAACTTTGTAGATTATTAACTCACCCATTATTGATGAACATGTATTTCGAATGGCTGTTTCTGTTCATGTCTGGTGTCGTATAACACTGATCAACAAGTAATACCAAATTGTTGTCCTGCACGCTTGCGCTGGCCTCAAAGTAAAGATAGTCTCTCAATTTCACCTTTGCTGGGTACGAGTAGAAGCGACTGTTGAACAAGCTGTTGCGAAACATTCCAAAATTGAATGTGAAACTTCCAACACCACCTTTTAAGAATACATTAAAAACAGGTTAAAAACGAATTTTAAATTTGAATCTCTAGAAATACAGAAAGATTTTGTCAAGAACAAAAGTGTCGGAAATTCAGCTTTCATACGGATGGGGAAGGGGTTAGGGGCTTGTTTTGGGGCAGTGTTGTGCTCAGACCTATGATTTTTGACAAGAAAACGTTTTGGATGGGATTTCAGCATATTGAAAGTTTGTCAATTATCCGATGAAAGTCCGAATTTTGCGACAATTTTCGATTTGGGAACGGGCATCTCCTTCCATGCCCCCATAACTTCCGCCACTGAAAAGCAATCCTAGCCACACTTAGGATGGAAAACTATTCCTCCCTTTCAGAGTCTTTCTGTCACAAGTGAAAATTAGAAATGCACTTTTAATCTGGTAAGTCTCTGGTACTCCAAAAATTCTCAATATTGTTTTAGCTATTTTGACTTGAAAACACCTGTTTTGGGAACTTGGAGGCAGGTAAAAAAAATGAATTTCAATGCATCCAAAAAACCTCTAAATAACTGAATCTAAGCAAAGTATAGAGCAGTTTGCCTAATGCTTCTCGCAACCACGTAGCTGTAGGTGTCGGCTAGGGGGGGGGGGGCAAACTCGAGCAAGAGCCATACCTGAGGGGGGGCAGGCTTTAAAACAAGAAAATAGATATATAACAAACAGATATATTTGGACAAAATCAAGGTCATAGAATTATAAATATGCCAAACTTTCAAAATATAATTTGGAAAAAATATAGCCAGAGGGTGCAAGCTGTTTTCATTTTGGAGGGGGGGCACAGCGTGCCCCCTTGCAGCTACGTGGCTGGCTTCTCGTCCCGAAAAAAACATTGTGTTTTTTCAAAAGGAATGACCTAAGTCGGCTGAAAAAATGCCTAGAGAAGGACAACTTTCATTTTTATATGTAATTTAGACTTAATCAGGTAATTCATTCAAATGAGCTTTTCATTCCATGAAAAAAATACTGAGCTTTGAGTATTTCTTACCCTGGGTACCAGACACACTCTACGAAAAAGAAGCGAGACAAATATAATCTTTCTTATTTATTCAAGAGTCTAATTCAAGAGGGCTGAATATGAATACAGCCTTGCAATTTGGCATAAAGCGTTTACAAACGAGTTCAAGTGATTTACACCGATCAAGGCCTGAGAGCATTGAACCAGCCTCTCTCCTCTTTTTTATAGAGTGTTTCTGATAGTTTTTACGTACAGGAGTACCAAAACTTTGCGTCTATGGTGAATATGGGCAATAACGTCCTAAACAGAATTTTTATATAGCATTAGGTGCTACTGTGTTGTTTTTGTTAAGGTTAATGGGTAGCCATGCTTATCATGCTCCCTTTGACATCGTCTCTGTGATCTTTTTCTTGTAAAACGCACTTTTATAACATAGGCAATGAAAATTGACTAGAGCCTGCAAATGTTGATGCTGATTAAGATAAGAAATAATTGAATATCATTATGTTTTAATAAAGTATACTTAAAATTAGCTATGCTAAAAGCAGAGACCCTTGCGTGTTTTTTTTTCTGTTTTCAACTTTGCTAATTTTTTTTGTATCGAACAGACAATTCTTGTTGACAATTTGATTGTCTAGACTTTTTGGCTTTCAAAGTAGGGAAGAATATGGGAACTACTGAATTTTTTTATGCATTTTCCAGTTGTGGTTGATATTTGATTTGTTAGGTTGAATTGCCGATATGTTTGATACCAATAACATATTTTCTGACTTTATAAGACTTGATATGTTATCATGACATGAAATTTTAAATGCAGAAAAATCTTACTTTCATTGCCACTGACTTTTCGTATTGGATCATAAGATACACTGCTTCCAAAGCCATCCCTATCGTAAATACATGATACATCAATCGACTGATCATGATCTCTTGTAATCATGCCTTCTTCTTGCTTTGCAGTCATGATAACTTCATTTCTATAGATGATATGACGCTGCGTCTCTTCTCTTGAAGCTCCGCAGCCGTTTGGGACACTACCCAGTGATATGTAAGAGCTCGAAATATACGCAGAGCAATACGGATCACGTAGAGTGATGCGTGAGAATTCAGACGCATTGAAGTATTTGGTATCCAAAATAACACGCATATAGTTGTTGCTGCATTCAACTTTGGCCATTTGATCTGAAATAAAGCACAATTTCAAACCCTCCGCAACAAATAAAATGTCCACTTAAGGTATGAAAAAAAGGTAATAATAATCATCACACGAGAACAAGGCTACAATGACCATAACTGAGAATGAGATTCCTGTCAATTCAACCACATCTCTCTATAGGCCAGTTCATTTCTTTCAAAATCACCTTGTTTACAAAAGTTGTTAATGTCTTTTCTACTGCCAAAGCCGTACCTCTTAATTCCCCTTAAAGTGCCCCTTGGAAAAGTCCTCCCAATAAAACTGTTTGATAGTTCTTAGTCCTTAAATATGTCAACGATTCTCCACGATTCCAAATTGACAATTTGGGTCCATCCTCGACTTAGTCCTAATCCAAAAATAGCTCAAAGGAATACTAAGCGAAAAGGGAGCAATTTGAAATATTTTTAAAGTAATTGCTTATCAAATCGATTAAAAATTTATCATGGCTGCCTACCTTCGGCTCCGCAGTACCTGAGATTACAGGAAGGAACACCGTCTAATTTGTAAACATAATATGTCCCGCAGTTCTTTACTTTGATATATGTCTGATAATAGCAGTAGCAATCATAGTATCTTGAAAAACAGACAGTTCTGTAAACCTCTCCCTCATGTATGCCCGGATTGGAGCCTGTCAGCCAGCCTTGAAATTCCGCTGCGCAAAAGCTGCCCTTTCTTGCTGGACATTTGGTAAGCATCCTATTGCCAGCATCACCCATGAAGCGGTACCATCCGTTTAAATGTTTGTCACAACCATGAAAACCCCGCTTGAAGTAATAATCTGCTCGGTTGGACTCTGATAGGACCTGGTAGTACTTGCAGCCATCCAGTGGAGGCTTTGGGGTGGATGCAGCAGCTATTGATGTTGCTTCTATATCTTGGGACGTAATACTTGCTGATGGTGATATCGTATCCAGAGCGTATAGTGCTGAGGTTTCAACTGCGCTAGGTGTTACATGTACTTGATCTGCCATTCCACAATATCTAAAGTTGCAGGGAACTGAGTAAGGGCGCGAGAAACCGTATACAAAGAAGCCTCCACAATTTCGAACGTTGACTGTCTCTCTGTGTTTATAGCAATCGCCGAAATAAGCAAACATGACGGTACGTTGGACAACCCCATCGTACCATGAGGGCTCTGAACCGTAAATCCAACCTTGGTAATAGGTGCCACAATTGATGTGGCTACCGGTATGAACAATAGGGCATCGATTTAACATTTTTGAGCCAGCTGCACCTCCGAACCTGAACCAACCGTTTAGTCCATTGTCGCAGAGATATACATAACTTTGATAATATAAATTTCGATTCCGCTCTGAAAGATACGTGTACGAATGGCAAGGATCCTCCTATGATGGAATAATGAGATATCATCCTTAGATAAGTGCTGAAAAAGATTTGGAAAATTTTCGGACATCAAAGCCTGAGGAAAAATTCCCTCTTGAAAAAAGAAAAAAAAATGTTATTCTAACGAAACAGAAGGATTTCCACTTATCTCAAGGCAAAACACTATCATTCTACAAAGGTGAAAGGCGTTTCCCCTCACTTTAGGAAGTTGGCACAAAAGTTTGAATGCGGAATTAGAAGATAGGAGCAGAGGAGCAGAGATGCTTCTATCTGCTATTTCCGTGCACGTATTCAATAATAATCCTATTTAAAAATAAAAGTATTTACAGTAAAAATATTTATGTAGCTCTGACAGAAAAGGTACAAAAGCTAATTAGTTTTATAATATAACAAGCATGCATATACATTCTGGTGGAGAGATCTAGAAAACTTAAAATCCCAATAAAAAACGACATAAACTATCCCCCACCCCCCCCCCTTCAAAAATGCAGATTAAATTTTTTTTACCTTACTTATAACTATTCTGAGTAGAATTATTTTCAAATCTAAAGCTTGAATGCTAATTTTATTTATGTGCATGCAAATTAAAAGTACGTGCTATTAAGAATTTACTGCAATGTTGTAGAAACCACGTCATCAAATCGAGACCATCTACATGCACAGCTTGTTATGTGTAGATAAATCATAGAGATGGGTTAAATTAAATAGAGTGCAAAAAATGGTTACCTCTGGGCATTATGGTAGCAACATTCTAAGGGAAAAAGGTGAGGTAGACAATATTCCCTAAAAACTACTCGGCTTCGTCTTCATAAAAAAGCAGAATTATCTATAAGAGTACATGCAAAATATGTTGTTCAACAAAACCCGCGAGGGTTAGGCTAGGGGCTGCTCTTCTGGGGATTGACATTCTGAGTAAATGTGTAGTGCTGTTTTATAATTTTCAATGATATAAAAAAAAGCCGAACAAGTTTGGATTACATACAGCAGTTGGTGTTGGCATCACCAGGGTAGATACGGTCAAAATTGATGTTGAAGGTGTTGGGCTGTAAACTTCAATAGAAGAACCGCCCAAATGGGATCCACAGTATCTGTAGTTACAATAGCGAAGTGCATTCTGCTGAAAGTAATACAGGTAAAAGTATCCACAGTTTTGCATCCATATCGAAATCGAATCATAGTAACAGTGGTCGTATCGAGCAAAATATACCGTCCTTTTCACAGGGCCATCGTAATAACTTGGTGCGGAACCACTAATCCAGCCTCCATAATATGCACCACAGTAACTATTCCTGTATGAACCTCTCAGGTTATGTGGGCATTTATTCAATAGGTCGCTGCCAGCACTGCCAGAGAATCTGTACCATCCACTTCTTAGGTTGTTATCGCAATAAAAATTGCCTGCCGTGCTGTGAACATTGCGATTGCCGTCATTGAGCATGCGGTAATTCCAACAGCCCTTAAATGAAATGAAGACAAGCAATAATAAGTGCAATGTGAAATGAAATAATATAAAGAAAAGTTAATTTAAATTTAATTTTGATGCTAAAAATAGTTTTAGCAGGATTTATTTTAAGGAATTTTTATATCTGCAAAGATTTGAAAATTATTGGCAAGATTTGGGTGTGGCCTTAAAAAATGTTTGATGAAAACGTCTTTCAAGCAAACTGAAAAATTCGTTAATGAGATTCTTATCCTTTCTTAATATTCTCTAGTAATTCAATCCCATTCCAAAAGGTGCAATGCTCACAGATACAATGTTGTTATATTTGGGCTGTCTCAAAATAGACCCAACGAGGTGACATTTATTTGTAGGGACAAACAGAATTTTAAAGATTCCCGTGTCTTATTAACTTTCAGTTTCATCTCTTGCTAGGTTAACCCTGAATTGCTGAAAATAATAGACAGTCCAATGTTACAGTATATTGATGCATATAGTCAGACAGACAAATTTAAATTTTTGCAACATTTCAATCTGGAAGGGCATAGCTACTTCAATACAACAGATATCATTTTCAGAAATGGACAATAGAGGGATGGAATAGCCCATAATGATAACTTTCTAAGGAAGAAGAGTTTTTCTGAAAAAAACTAGCTTTTTAGATTCATTGAATCGAATTCGATTTGCCGATTCAACTGCAGTCAAAGAGGTCTCGTTTTGCAACGAATCAGGCATAACAATATCAACAACATTTAGTATCGATCATGGCGAGGATGGCTGTCTGTGCGAAGCTCGTCACGCTTCTCGTGTTTTTAGCTTTGGTACAACGGTAGCGGAGAAGTCTATATACCAAAGTCAGCTATGATACTGGTGAAAGCATATGTACACTATCAAAGGAGCATTTGGCAATTATTTGTATCATTTTGCTATCTCTGTAAAAAAATTTCCTCTGAGAATTAGGCCATTATCAAACAAGTCGCACGGAAGTAAAGCCTATCTTTTATTACTTTTAATCTTAAGTGGCGATGTCGAAATAAACCCATGACCAAACACAATGTCAGTGCAAACGTGCCAGGATTGTAAATTTAAAAAGGGATCTTTACGTCAAGGGGATTTGATGCTCTGTTCTTTGTGAAACGACATTCGCTTCTCGATCGGCATATCTAGTGATACTTCATCAAAGTCTTTTGGAAGCAAACGAAAAGGAAAGAAACAGACGAATGGTAGAACAGAACATGCGAAAAATGAGATGCAACCTCTACTAGCCACCAACCAAATTACTGGTATCGATAGTGTGGTGGAATTTTACAGCATAAAAACAGATCTGAGGATTCCGCCAGAACATCCCTCCTTTATTCTTGATAAGTTCAAAAACCAAGCACACTACTCATTCACAACAGACAACACTCAGATCGCCTCAACTATCCTTGCCTTTTATAACGAGATTTATGATAAACTTGGAATGGATGAAAATTTTGAAATATCTTGGACAGATTTAATTAATACCGAAAAAAATATCGTGGATGAAATATTAATTGAAATCAATAAAGAAGGAAGTCAATGGGTTACTGTCAAGATATATATTCCTTCAGCCAGGGGCGGATCCAGCGTCTGCGTTTGGGGAGGGCCATTTATGAAAGAAGAGGAGGCCTGCGAAAATTTCACAGACACGCCCTTCAAAGTCTCACCGAACGCGGGAAACGCCCCTTTCTATCAAAAAATTTCATAAGAAGGTACACTCTCAGAACACTGAAAATTAAGAAACTTCATTGCTGCGAGAAACTTCCAAGCGAAGTAAAGGCTAAAATACATGATGAAAAATTGATGAACTTTGGCTAATCGTGTAAACACGCGCTTCTTTAGTTAAACTGATGAAAAACGGATATAGAAATAACTTTGGGGAAAACTGACATAAAAAACTGATCGTGTATTTCAGCCTTTACAAATATTCATATTGAATATTTGGTCAGCAGCTTTCGCGCTTGACTTGGGAGGGGAACTATGACGCATCAGAGTTCGTGAATGACATTATAATTCCTGTGTTCAAGAAGCCGGCATAAGACACGTACCCTTAAGATGAAAAAAAGATTTAGAAAATGAGCAAAAGTCCCCACGTATTTGGTGCGTATAATTTGAATGGTAAATTTTCAAAATGGGTAGTCACCAAAAATTCATCGCAGCATAACAGGCAAAGCTGAGTAGTTATAGGTACTGTTTTGCTTTTGTTGGAAATAGTGACGCTTTTTGGGTATCACAATCGCAATAACACGATGAACAATGTTTGAACTGTAACCCATTTTAGCCATAACTTTCTCAACCATTAACGTTTGCAGACGTCATTCATTCATGATCGCAGTCATGATTTGTGTTAAACCATAGTCCATATGAGCCGCGAGATCCGGTCACATCTAATTTGCATTGAACTATTGTTTTAGGCTTATCATAATTCTTGTGTTACACATCCACTTGCAACTTATTGCCTCACTGAAAGCGAGAGAATAAAGCCGACTGGAGGTTTGATTAAAATGTCTGGTCCGCCAAAGAAATCAAGAACTCTTGAATCATTCTTCTCAAAAAGTAGCCGCACCAGTTCAGTTGGAGATAACCCTGAAATCTCTAAAACATGTGAAACTACCACTTGCCAAGAATTTGAATCAAAATCTACTGGTGAAGAATTCGACACACAAAGCCAAGTTGCGGTAGTCCAGGATTGTCCTGAAGAGGAAACACACCCAGACCTCTGTTGTATGGCGACACAAGTAAATGTTGCAATATCTGATAGATATGACATTGGTAGAGCTATAATGAAAACAAAATGAGGAGAACAGCTGACAGATAACGAAAGGGAAGCATATTTATCGAAGAGGTGGGTGCCGCAGAGAAGGGATGAATATCCATTTTCTGAAAAGAAAAAACCAAAGAATCAGCTCATGGTTGGTATGTCCTCGACAACGAAGCGTTTTCTGGGTGAAAATCACTTGAAAACCTTCCCCTGGCTAGCTGTCAGCAGAGAGCCAAAATGTTGCGGTGCTTGGTGTGTTTATTGCGTTTTATTCAAGACGTGCGAGAGTGGAGGTGGAAGAGGTGCACAATACGGAGGTGGAGCAGGCCAGTCAATGGGCAAACTTGTTAACAAGCCTCTTGTAAACTTTTCAGACTTGACAGGGAAAAATGGAGCCCTCACAAGTCACCAAGAAACATCTTTTCATAAGACATGTGCCATAAAGTACACGGAGTTCTTGAGCCGTGCAACACCTGGGAGTGAGAAGGACGTTCGATCAATAATGAACATTGAAAGGCAGAAAGAGATTGAAAGAAACAGGACTGCGCTGGTCCCCATCATCGACACCCTTCTAACATGCGCCAGGCAAAATATTGCGCTTAGAGGCCATCGTGATGATGGACCAGTAGATTCAACTGGGATGGAACCCAAGCACAATGATGGAAACTTCAGGGCATTGCTGCGATTGAGAGTACGGGGAGGAGATACAAACTTGAAAGATCACTTGAAATCTTGCAAACGCAATGCTTCTTTGGTAAGCAAAACGATACAAAACCGATACAAAGCTAATTGCCTGTGCAGGAAATATTGTCAAAGAGGACATAGTAAGAGATGTAAAAAATGCAAAATTCTGGACAATAATGGCCGACGAAACCCAAGATTGTGCGAAACGAGAACAGTTGGTCATTGCAATTCGTTACGTTGACACAAAAAATGTGCCAAAAATTATCAAAGAAGAACCGGTCGCAATTTTAGACCTGATTGCAGACATAAAAAGCAGTGACCAATCAGATGAAACAGAGCACAATGAAATTAAGCTATGTGGCAAGGCAATAGGGGAGACTCTACTCCGCCATATAAGTGAGCTTGGGTTGGATTTGCAGTACCTCGTTGGTCAAGGATATGATGGTGCTGCATCGATGTCCAGTGAGCGAGTTGGTGTTTGCTCCTTTATCAAATCTCAGGGGCGGATCTAGAAATTATTCTGAGGGGTTCTAAAACGTAAGGCTTGGTAACCCAGGGTGTTGCTATGCACAAACTCTGTACCCCTGCTAATAAGCCATAATGAAATGAAAGTCTTCCATAAACTAAAAAGCCTGGATGCCTTGATTTATATAGTAATTTTTGGTTTCAGCTTTTATGCCAATTGAACGCAATTTGCAGCTCGCCCCTCTTATATTCACTTAGGGTACAAAAGTATAGAAACTGTAGTCAAATATGATATGATGGCCCGCAGTGGCAAAAGGCCCGAGCCCACAAATTTTCAAAGCAAAATTCAATTTTTGACTCTTTGCAGCCATTTATTAGAACTTGATCAGCTTGACCAAAAAAATAACGTGGCTGGTGGAATGAAGCCCTTGAAGTGCAGTGCAAAAGTTGAACACAGGGATTCAAACACAGCATGCATCGACATATGACGCCGAACCAAACAAAGAAGGCCCTGAATGTTTCGCTATGGGCCTGGCGTTTTGAGTATTTTTATGTATTTGAAATTCTTAGAGAAAAAAGTATTCGCAGGAATATAAGAGGAAACCCCTTTTGGTCAATAATAGTAAGGGCAAGTTTTTGAGATGTTTTTTATGTAGTTCTTGAATTATTAAAAAAAGAATAACAAGGGCTCGGGGCTCGGGCAAGCTTTATCCTCTGAATATAAATCATACCTCATGGTCTATGAATAAGACGTGAAACACGGAGTTGAAACTTGAAACCGTTCTGTTATATAAACCACAGCGTTTACAAGTTCTGCCGTTCCAGCATCGAGCATCAGGTAAAGATCGTCAAAAGATCCACGAAAACATATTGCAAATTTGCGCCTAAGCATTCGTCGCGTGCTGTATCATAATTCAACTCCCCCTGGTCAACCTCAACTCCCCCTGGTCAACCTCAACTCCCCCTGGTCATAAAACCACTTATACATTTGACTGTAGATTGAAGCGAAGAAACTCCCCCTGGTTTGTCGGTATTCTTTGATGTTTTGGATTTTTGAAAGCCATGGGTTCTCGCGCCAAAGTTTAGA